TGTTGTGTTATACAACACATAGATTACTAAAAATATGAACATCTGTTTAAAACGTAACTATTTGAGTATTGTAAAAATGCCTCTACCCCGGTACATTTGCATGGAATGTTATCAAACCAAGCATTAATGTACTTGGTGAATGGCTGACCTGAGCACAGTTCCCTGTTTATCAATGCATGCATTGTGGGCTAAACTGTTGACACATGTGTCATCAAACTCTGGTTAAAACAGGTTGGGCCACATAGAATAGGGAACATTCACAAACAGGGTGGGCCACATAGAATCAGGTACATTCACAAACAGGGTGGGCCACATAGAATTGGGAACACATACACAAACAGGGTGGGCCACATAGAATCAGAAACATTCACAAACAGGGTGGGCCTTGTGGAATCGGGTACATTCACAAACAGAGTGGGCCACATAGAATCGGGAACATTCACAAACAGGGTGGGCCACATAGAATCAGAAACATTCACAAACAGGGTGGGCCTCGTGGAATCGGGTACATTCACAAACAGGGTGGGCCACATAGAATCGGGAACATTCACAAACAGGGTGGGCCACATAGAATTGAATCAGGTACATTCACAAACAGAGTGGGCCACGTAGAATCGGGAACATTCACAAACAGGGTGGGCCACATAGAATCGGGAACATTCACAAACAGGGTGGGCCACATAGAATCAGAAACATTCACAAACAGGGTGGGCCTCGTGGAATCGGGTACATTCACAAACAGAGTGGGCCACATAGAATCGGGAACATTCACAAGCAGGGTGGGCCACATAGAATCGGGAACATTCACAAACAGGGTGGGCCACATGGAATCTGGTACATTCACAAACAGGGTGGGCCACATAGAATTGGGTATATTCACAAACAGGGTGGGCTTCGTGGAATCAGGTACATTCACAAACAGGGTGGGCCACATAGAATCGGGAACATTGACAAACAGGGTGGGCCACATAGAATCGGGTACATTCACAAACAGGGTGGGCCACATAGAATCGGGAACATTGCATTGTGGGCTAAACTGTTGACACGTGTCATCAATCTCTGGTTAAAACAGGGTGGGCCACATAGAATCGGGAACATTCACAAACAGGGTGGGCCACATGGAATCTGGTACATTCACAAAATATTCCACAACCATTGATTTCCACAAGTGATTACGACTGCATCACACTTTGCATGACCAGTTTTATATGGTCCACCCTATATATAGATGAGAGAATGAATTGGGGAAAAGAGGTCAGATTTTTTTTTCCTCGTGTATGTTATACACCAATGCTCCATGTAATGCATATTCAGTACAATAATAATTTAATAAATAAAAGAATGGGAGGTTGGATCAACAACATTTGGGATAATCAGCATTTGGAAATCTCTCCTCTACAAGTATTCATCTATGTATTTTTCAAAATATCTTTTTCGGTGAAATGTTGTTTAGGAAGTCAAATAGCGGCTGTAGCAAAGTGGCACTGACGAGTAGTCCCATCCTCCATCTTGCCCTAGTCTAATTCAAATGATCTTTATATAAACTATTGTTATAAATTACATAGTTAATTCATCTGTGTTATAAAAATCTAAAATGAAATGGAAATGTTGTCTTGGTTTATGTGCTGAAAATGAATATGTACCGTACAAGGTCATAAAAAAGCATTTCCATTTATCTGGATCAATAAACTATCTTATCTTATATGTTAGTTAATTTAACCTTCAGAATTAAAGATGAGAATTTCTGAACTGATATAGAGATCTACTTTTTTTCTTTCCATAATCATAGAGTATTTTTCACACTATGCCAAGACTTGCTTGCCTAGCAGACGATGAGTGGATTCTGCCTCGCCAGTTTGTCCAGCTGGATTCTAAGTGGCAAGATGACAGCAACAATCTGATTAAACTACGGAACCCATCTTGTGAACTTGCCTTATGTAAAGAGGGACCCTGGAGAACAAAGGCTCAAGGTTTTTCATCTTTATTGAAATTTCATTGCATTAAATTTTCTCAGCAATGAAATTTTAATGGGTTTTTTTTCTGTTGTAAGATTAGTGGCAAACAAAAGTGTGGCTCCTAAATAGCAGGGTTCTTACTCAACAGCTGGGTCCTTACTCAACAATGGGATCCTTACAATCATTCTCTAACGGCAGTCCATGAAATATCAATATTTTCAGCTTTTGTGACATTGGTTGTTGTTTATAAATATGAATAAACTCCAGCACATTGTTATTTATGATATAATTTCAGCTGAAAATGAAGATGACATTGTGGAATCTGCTGACGGAGATGTGCAGAAAAAGATCATGCCTTGGAGGCAAATGTCTCCCGATCAAGAAACGGAATCAGAATTGACATCACAGAGGCAGAAAAAGTCAGATGAAGGGCTTATCTTGGTGACATCTCTTGTTGACAAAATTCCAAACCTTGGGGGTAAGAAATGGTCAATAAATTTTTAAGGTTAATTTGACTTTAAAAAATTATTTTTGGAAAGGCAATTAAACAACAGTTTATTAAATAATATTTCTATGAATAACAGTTGTGTAAAATTCTATATTACAATGTAAAACTGAATAATATCAAATGTAACTCGATTTTAAGGGTTGTGTCGTACCAGTGAAATATTTGGTGTTTCTGAATTTGTGATCAGCAACTTGACTCATGTGGAGGACAGAATGTTCCAAAATCTCAGTGTCTCAGCCCAGAAATGGATCACTATTACAGAGGTAGGCATTCTCATCTTATCTAATGTTATTGGCCATATATTTTATAGACATTCTCATGTAAATAATAATAAATTTACTAATGATAGATGATGCTTCAATGTCAAGTATTTTGTCTATGTCTAGAAATTGATTGCTTCAACAGGGTGTTATGAAATCAAACATGTTAGAGTCTCAGATCTTATATTTTTAACATGTCTATTTTACAAAGATGTAAAAAAAAACCTGTTCCGAAAAAAAACATCTTCTGCCATTAATGATTAATAATAATAATTATAAGCCATCTTATATAGCATGGTACCCAAGCCTAGAGCTGGGCTCACCGTGCTGTACATAAAATTTTTTAATCTGACTGCTTAGTAACACATCCTAGTACCTGTATTCATAATCATAGGAATTTTCATGTCCAAATACTCTTAATCTTGTACCGGGTAATTCTTTCACTGTCAAAGTTTTACTTCTATGTACAATTCATTAGGAACCTACAATTAGATTTGCTGAAACAAATAAAAGACTTAGTCTTAGTTTTTAAATTGCTTTGGGCAGTGGCCCATAATTCCCTTAGATTTAATAAAATTATAATGTCATATTTAAATTTTCTTGTTCTCTTATTTAGGTCATGAGACCAAGGATACCTGAATTCTTGGAAGAGAAAAGGTTACAAGGTTATACCTTAGTGGGTGTGGAGCAAACGGCAAATAGTGTATGCCTACAGGAATATCAGTTCCCAAAAAAGACCTTACTTCTGCTGGGGTAAACTCTATACCATATCTTTAAATGTGGATCTCAGTGTTATATTTACCACTTAAAAGTAAAAATGTTAAAAGACCTTACTTCTGCTGGAGTAAACTCTATACTATGTCTTTCAATGTGGATCTCAGTGTTATATTTACCACTTAAAAGTAAAAATGTTAAAAGACCTTACTTCTGCTGGAGTAAACTCTATACTATGTCTTTCAATGTGGATCTCGGTGTTATATTTACCACTTAAAAGTAAAAATGTTAAAAGACCTTACTTCTGCTGGGGTAAACTCTATACTATGTCTTTCAATTTTTCAATGTGGATCTCAATGTTTTACTTATACATAACACTTAACATGTTAACAATAAAAATGTAAGAAGAATAAAAAAATTATTTAGACTTAATTAATAAACATTTAATAATGGGAACAAATAATATTTGACCAGCAAGTTACAAGTGAGATTTACCTGTACAGCCTTAACTTTTAATTTAAAATAAATGATTATTTCAATTTTTGTAATTTCTTCTTTCAAGGAATGAAAGGGAAGGGATTCCTGTGGATATTATCCAAAGTCTGGACGTCTGCGTAGAAATTCCCCAACAAGGGGTCATTAGGTCACTCAATGTCCACGTGTGTGGTGCACTCATTGTATGGGAGTACACAAGGCAACACATGAACCAATCCAAGAACTCTACGGCCAGCACCATCAAATGATAACATTTATAACAACTTTTAGCTGAGCTCTTTAAAAATCATACTTTTCAGAGGCACATCATACAGATGGTTTTACTTCTAAATGGATTGAATGCCTCACTTTAAATTAAAATAGCCCATGGGAGTGAAGTAGTGTGAAAAACAATTCTAGTTACCTGCTCTTACATTCAATCCATTCTCTAAATGCGCATAAGCTGAGAGCTCGGGAAAAAGATTCCTATTTTTGTTTAAAAGTTAATACTGGCCACCTGTCTATGTTTACCTATAATCTCCCTATTAATAGGACTCTAGTAATAGATCAGGTACAGACAGTTGTGATTGACCAGTAAGTTCCATTCCTAGCGATTCTTATGTTTGTGACGTATTGAAGACCTAAGAATGTGTTTGTTTAAACATAGGATTGTCATTTAATAATTAAGTTACATTTTGGCTGATGAAAAGCATGATTTGAACATAGAACTAGTTTTATGATCATTTTGTCATACTTATACATACCAGTATATAGATGTATTTTTAAAAAAAACAGAAAACTGCATGCATTGATTTTTGTAAGCTCTATTTTTTATAAAAAAACTTTGACAAAGGGTTCATTTGTAGCTTCGACATTACTTGTTTAATTTCCAGGTGAAATGCTGATTGTCAAAATTTTTGTATTATTTAAATTTGTAAAACCTTATCCCAGTCCATCTGAATATAAACATATTTTTGATTATAAACATATTTTTATTCTATGTTTTTATGGACTACCTCGATTGTATATTTATGGTGGTACTGATACACTAAGCCTTATTTAGTTTAATATTTTACATTAAACATCATAATAAAGGTATATTTATGGTGTTACTGACACACTAAGCCTTATATATTTTAGTTTAAGATTAAATTAAACATCTCTAAAATGTATATTTATTTGCTATTTCAAACAACAACAAAAGTTTATTCTAATTACTAATATTCAAATTATGTCTTTTTATAATTATAAGAAAGCATTATTTTTTAAAACAACAAATTTGTTATGCTATATTTATTTTCAAAAATTTACAAATAATACATGGTCCATAACAATAAATGATATACAAACATACAATTTTTGTTTGAAACTTGTTTTTGTTATCTTGATGATGAAAGTGATGTTTGTGAATTTAATGGTCCATAATATATAGTCACACCTAAGTACACAAGGCCTAATAATACAACTGATAATAGCATACTCCTCCAGTTTTCCCAACGTAGGCTTTTGAGCTGAATTTCTGTAATACAATACAGAATGTAAAATTTAAAAAATGCATCAAAGATAAAATAAGGTACATTTTTAAAAAAAAGATTTTATTCTAAAAACTTGACTTCACTAACAATTACAATAATAGCAGAAAGCTTTTTAAAGAACTATTTGCACTATTTAAAATACTACTACTGATACCCTCTACCACTGATACTCACTATTATTAAGGATTTGTTTTTCAAGTAACTTCATTTCATCCTTTAATTGAGTCCTGTAGGAAAATAAAGATTAGATAATAATATAAATATTTTCCTAATATACCAGTACTGTACTGAATTATAATTTAACTGGGTCAAAAAAATGGATTCAAAACTCACAATTAGACATTTACCTTTCTTCTATGGTCATTTTGGTTAGCCTCCTCATTCTTTCAATGTCATCCAGACGTTTTTCACATTTTTCTATATCTTTCTCTACCACCTCTATCTGAAATTAAGATAAGAAACATGAAAATATATATACTGTATAAAAATAAATTATTGAAAATAAATTAAGCTTTTCATTAAAATATTTTTTTTACTATATTAAAATATTTTCAATTCTAAACGAATACAGAGACTGCCTCGAGTGTGTATGTCAGTGTAATAAATCATTTGTACACAAACCTTATGACACTTATACTTTTGTTGCCAGTCCATACAACATGAGTATTTATGGTCAAATAAATAGAAAATATTAATTATGAATACATTTTGCATTGGTCCCTGGTGTAATTTCTTCACTGGTCCACCAAACTTAAAAGAAACATAAGTCTCAATTAACATTAACTAACAGTCCCAAAATAACTCGCACTCACATCATAACTTTCTTTAGTTAGACTTGACATGCAACCATTAATTTGTTCTCAATGAATGAATTGCTTTTTTTATTACAAGCGGTGACAAGCCCTATCTAAGTTGGTCTAACAGTTGAAAAGTCATTACGGTACCTAAAGTCTAAAGCTTTAGCTTTAATTTAAGCGCTTGAAGTTTGAAGTCTAAGTCTAACTAAGCGATAATAGCTGATAATAAACCTAAACTTAAACTAATTAAAGTATAACTAAGTTAAACACACGCGACTCTCGACTTCAGACTTTAGTGTTAGGTTAGGACTTGCTGCTAAGGCTAAGGCTAACTTTAACTTTAGTTTAGGTATTTATTATTATTATTATTAAATGATTGATTATCACGAGGATGTTTCATTCAGTATGAGTTTATAATATAGCGAATAACGTTTTAAGTCTCATGGTCTATACTCTTAAACGATGATTATAATTGGTACACTATACCCTGATCAAAAGTAAGTTACCTCAGTTGCAATAGTTTTCATATCTGCTGTTTTTACAGTCACAGTCTCAGTCTCACCAAACTCAGTGTTCTACTTTCGCTTTATTAGCTCTTTAAATACGTGTCACTTCCATTTTTATAAATAAATACAAATTTCGGATCGGCGCACTCATTTAAAAATGAAATAATATATTATTAGTCAACAGCAGGACTATTAATATTAATATATCGAAGTGGCCATGCGGTATCAGAACTTGAAGTGATAGGTTGGGATTTAAAAAAATATTTAAAATATTATTGTAGGGTTTGTAAGACAAAGTTTGGTATCAAATGAAAGATAATTGAATGGACTATACTATATGTTACTTCTTCAGAGTAACTATAATAAAGTTTAATAAACCATCACAAATGACATGCGAATAGCATTTAGTCTAAAGGGGCCCGGGTCCGAATAGCAGCTATGCGTACCCGGGTCCCCTTAGACCAGGGGTCTCAAACTCTTGCGGCCCGCAAGACGGTCATTTTGCGGCCCGCAACATGCAGCAAAGTTTAGTGTTAATGCGGCCCGCACGTTTTTCCAATTCTCATACCTATAATGCGACCTTCGAGACGACTGCAGTTGAATCTCACCGACTAGTCTAATTCTGATTTTTATTATGTTTGTATAGATTTGGACGTTGGTTGTATTGAAGACCGTTTTAAAATCGGACTAAAAGTTTTTATTTTATAGCATTTTATGAGACCAACATGGCTAAAATGTGCATTTTTTAGAAAAGTTCAAAAAGTCAGTTAGTGGATAATACTCAACCATAAATGTGTAAATTGTAGCAATCTGACACAGTATCAAAGAATCCCTATTAACATTCCCACTATTGTTTACGTGTGAGGGAAATTCCGATCCTGTCAGCTTGGTCACGTTCAAAATTGGGTTAGTCAAAAAGGTCTTTTCTACGATAAAAAATCAAAATTCATTATCACTACAATGATTACAATAGCATATTCCTTCGCATCAATAATGCATAAATACGGCCTGCTCCTGCCTACTGTTTGAACAAGTTTTAGTCTTCAAAGCCTTCATGGAGGATCGTTGATTGTTCCCAAATGGCTCATGGACTTGGTTTTTCTTGTTGACATTACACAGGAGCTGAATGTACTAAACAAGAAGTTACAAGACCAGGTGTAGCTTTTTAGGGTTGCCAATGACAACGTCAGGGCATTCTGCACAAAACTTGTGTTATAGTTCTTAGAGAAATCTCTGCCATTCCAAACATGCAAAGTACTCATGGACTCCGGCACACCATTCAGTAGTAAGTACACTGATGCCACTGCAAAGCCACAGGAAGAATTTGATCACATGTTTTCAGACTTTAAAACAAACAGAGTCAATTGTCAACCGTTTGCTGACCCTTCCTCCTTCAATGTGAAAAATGCCCCCCCCCCCACCCCTTTAATTACTTTTTGGTTTTGTTTTGCGCTTTAAATGGGAGCTGACTGATTTTCAGTGCACTTCTAGGTTCAGGGTGATGACTGGAAATACTGATTCCACTGCAAAGCCACAGGAAGAATTTGATCACATGTTTTCAGACTTTAAAACAAACAGAGTCAATTGTCAACCGTTTGCTGACCCTTCCTCCTTCAATGTGAAAAATGCCCCCCCCCCCCACCCCTTTAATTACTTTTTGGTTTTGTTTTGCGCTTTAAATGGGAGCTGACTGATTTTCAGTGCACTTCTAGGTTCAGGGTGATGACTGGAAAAACAGACAAACATGGAAAATTATGAAAGCATTGCCCTCCACCTTCCCTGAGATTTCCAGGTTGTTCAAGCGGATCATGTGCCTTTTTTTGGGAGTACCTATCTATGTGAAAAGCTCTTTTCTAATATGAACTTTAACAAGTCAAAGTTCAGGGTCAAACATACTGATGATCATCTTCAAGCTATACTGAGGGTCTCAGTTGCTTCCTCACTCAAGCTCAGTTGCTCAGCTGTGTAAGAAGAACAACTAAGAATAAAACCACTAATAATAATATTAAGCGCTGCCAGGTCTCTGGCAACAAGGAGTAGGAGGAAGAAAGTAAAAACTAGTTCTTAAGCACCCAAAATGTTTTTGTTATTAATAAAGGTTGAGCAGATTTTAACGGTTGTACTTCATTGAATTTTTTTATTATGAATCGCCTTTTTGTGGAATACGGGATGCGGCCCAGTCTCAATCAGACTCTACCTCCTGCGGGCCCCGGATGATTTGAGTTTGAGACCTCTGGCTTAGGCTAAATCCCCGAATCATACATTTTAATGTATATTTTTATCAATACAATTCATTGACACTACGTTGTTGGCAATTGTATTGAATCGTATGGTACAGACCAGAGTTCAACGATGTAAAGCTAGACAAAAACATTATGTAGCTAAAATCCATAATGACGTGTAATAAAGTTAGATGTACTTAGAAATACTGTTAGCGTTAGACACATTTCTGTTACTGCAGTGCTTAACAGATTGGTATGAGGATAATTATGTCCTTTTTGTATCCAAACCTTTGGGACATATTTGCATGCCTTCACGGCACACCTGAAATCATCCTGCGGCACTTCCGCATGCTGCGACACATTGGCTGTGAAGCGCTGGTATAGAACATACAGACAACATACACGGTAGACACATTAGCTGTGAAGCTTTGGTATAGAACATACAGACAACATACATGGTAGACACATTGGCTGTGAAGCTCTGGTATAGAACATACAGACATCATACATGGTAGACACATTGGTATAGAACTTGGAGACAACATACCATGCTTAAATGAATTTCATTTCAAATGAAAATTATTAAAAATCCAAACGCTGTTGAACTCCGCCGTAGCCGGTCCCAAGCCCGGGTGAGAAAGGAGGAGGGTTGGGCGAAGGGCTAGCAACCCTTCCCTGTAAAAAAAGCCCTGCTACAAAAACACAAAGAAAGATTTCAAAAGGAAGCTCGGACCTTGGAAAGGATGGGTCTCCTAACAGAGAATTAATGAAGCTGGGTGGCCAAAGCCAACTGGAAACCAACCGGCGGACAACCATCCTCTCCACTAGGACCACCACCAGTCTAGGAACATGGAACGTAAGGACCATGTTCGAAACTGGAAAAACTGTCCAAGTTGCTGCTGAAATGCAAAGATACAAACTAGCCATCTTGGGAATAAGTGAGTCTCGATGGATAGGCTCAGGTCAGATAAAGCTCAACACAGGGGAACTGCTGCTATATTCAGGCCACGAAGATGAAAATGCGGCGCACAACCAAGGAGTGGCACTCATGCTTTCCAGAACTGCCCAGAACGCACTTATAGGGTGGGAAGCGCATGGTTCCCGTATAATCACGGCAAGATTTAAGACAAAAAAACGAAAAATCAATATGGACATCCTACAGGTGTACGCTCCTACCAACGATAGTAAAGAAGAGGACAAAGAGGATTTCTACAACAGACTGCGAACCCTGGTCCAAAGGTGTCCTAAGAGCAATATGGTTATACTCATGGGCGACCTAAATGCGAAAATAGGCAGCAACAATAAAGGCTATGAAGAATGCATGGGAACACATGGTATGGGAGAGATGAATGAAAATGGTGAAAGACTAGCAGATCTATGTGCTACAATTGGACTAGTCATCGGAGGAAGCCTCTTCATGCATAGAAATATCCACAAGGCCACATGGATTTCACCAGATATGTCAACGGCTAACCAAATTGACCATTTCTGTATTTGCAATAAGTTTAGACGGTCGCTCCAAGATGTTAGGGTAAAAAGAGGGGCAGATGTAGCCTCAGACCATCATCTAATTATTGCCAAATTAAGGCTGAAACTGAAAAAGAACTGGACAAGCGAGGGAAGCAAGCGCCAACATTTTAACATCAACCTCTTGAAAGATGAGTCCAAGCTAAAGGAGTTTAAACTTACCATCTCCAATAAGTTCCAGATCTTACAGGAACTAGGCAATGAAGAAACAATTGACAAAAACTGGAAAGAAATCAAAGAGATATTCACGACTACCTGTGAAGAAGTGTTGGGCCCTAGGCAACAAACGCATAAAGAATGGATTTCGGCTGAAACCATGGAAAAAATCCAATATAGGAGAAAGAAGAAGGCAAATCTAAACAATAGCCGCACCAGAACCGAAAAGGCCAGAGCATCAACAGAATACTCAGAAGCAAATAAAGAAGTTAAACGTAGTATAAGGACAGATAAAAAGAACTACATAGAAGGATTAGCAAGTGAAGCAGAGGAGGCTGCGTACCATGGAAACACAAGAGAATTATTCAGTACAATCAAAAAGTTATCTGGAAAGTTCAACAATCCAGTGAGACCAGTTAAAACTAAAGATGGGAAATCAATACCTGATGAAGAGGGTCAGAAAAAAAGATGGATAGAACATTTTGAAGAACTCCTCAACCGGCCAGCACCACAACACACACTCAACATAGAGCCAGCGGAAAAAGATCTAGAAATAGAGTGCAGCACACCCACAAAGCAAGAAATATGCAGAGCAATTAAACAACTAAAGAAAGGCAAGGCGGCAGGTCCTGACAGAATACCGACAGAAGCCTTGACAGCAGATATTACGTCTAGCACTGAAATGCTACACACACTATTCAAGAAAATATGGGAGGAGGAACAGATACCGGCTGAATGGAAAGAAGGACACCTCGTTAAGCTCCCGAAGAAAGGAGACCTTAGTTCTTGTTCTAACTATAGGGGAATAACCCTGCTGTCGATCCCAAGCAAAGTATTCAACAGAATGCTGCTAAACAGAATGAGGGAGGCAATAGACATCAATCTTAGGGACCAACAAGCAGGGTTCAGAAAAGACAGATCCTGCACAGACCAGATTGCCACACTGAGAATTATTGTGGAACAATCTCTGGAGTGGAACTCGTCACTATACGTCAACTTCATTGACTATGAGAAGGCTTTTGACAGTGTCGACAGACAGACTCTGTGGAAGCTGCTTAGACACTACGGGGTACCACAAAAATTGACAGACATAATTAAGGCTTCTTACGAAGGACTATCGTGCAGAATTGTCCACGGCCAGCAAACAACGGCGGCTTTTGAGGTACAGACCGGTGTCAGACAGGGGTGTCTGCTCTCGCCTTTCCTATTCCTGCTGACCATTG